CATTGAGAGCTAAGGACATCGACTTATCTCCCACAGCGGATTCCCTCAAATTTTGATTAACCCAAGGTCAGGTTAGGCAAACATTTGCATCCACGTTGCAAATCCTCATCAATAATTCCATAGCACAGCTTATCTGTCTGGGTATTCTATTATGCAAGCCTTTTTCCGCAGATATCTTAATCTGATTCCCGCCGTTTGGTTTGGTTAAACATTTTCCCTTTCTGTCTCCACCTGGCCTCCTTCTGCTCATTATACAGTTAAATGAATGCAAATGAGGGAAGTCGAGGCATGGTTCTTGTGCCTGAGACGGCGTCTGAGCCTTCCAGTGTTTCTTGCTTGTGAGATCAAACCTAAGCAAATAGAAGCAAGTCATGAGTCCGCTCCTCTGTTTTCTCACGTTTATTGATATCACTGGTTGCTCTAATAAGTTACTGCCACAGATTTGGAATGTGTCCATGCAGCTGCAACAGCTGTGGCTTCAACTCTTCAACTCTAGCAGGATTCAGGCTCGGCAGCAGGCTAAGATGAATTTGGAATAGCGGACAAAATGTCAAACAGCTATAAAGAAAAAGAGGAGGATTTATCGCACGACACTTTCTACCAGGCGCTCTTGTTACTCTGCAGCACCGAAGAAAGATCAAACTCATAAATATTGTCTATTCTGGGAGTGAGTAAAAAACAAACAGTCAATTAAAATCCCGCCAGCATCGCCAATTCTTCACTTTTCTCGTATCCTTGCTCTGATTGACTAGTTTGCACACCAGTTGCAAAGGCGTCTTTTTGTATATTTTTAATGATGCTCCCCTCGGTAGCCTTATCTGCCATAGCCTTCTCTTTATACACACCAACACAGCTCTTCTTTTCTGAGATTTATGTGAATGAACACTTCGCCGTCATGCTCTTTTATATCTGTTTTTGTTCCTATCCCTTTGACTTTTGAATTCCGTGGCTGAAGCTGGCGTGTGTTTACTCATCTCGGCTGAGCTCTGCGTCCTGATGATGGCAGAGTAGGACACGGAGCACAAGAAATGTGCCATCCCCGATGTTGTACCTCGCTTTGAAAGGTGTACAGTGAAAGTGGAAGCTGACATGTTGCTGTCACTGACAGGAAGTGATGTCTTCGCAGTCACGCTCGTGTTGTGACCGCTCAGGTTTTGAATGCTCAAACACAGGAAATCGCTGACAAAAAGGCTTTTTCAACATTGGCTCAACATAAGTCGGAGTTATAAAAAGCAGCATGGCAATCAAGGCTACTTTCGGCAAGAGAGGGAACCCGAATCAAATCCTTTGCACAGCCGTAACCCTTCTATTTTTTGGATTTCTCTCCCCTCTGCCCATGCTGGACTGGTTTTGGCTATAAAGACATCTGTGACCTAAATGAAATTCTCCATTCAAACGAAGGAAATGTGAACATTAAATCTTCTAAGATTGGGTGGTAAACCTCATAACATCACAATTGTTTTGTCTTACCTTTAAGGAATCAATATCTCTAGATAAGCCTATTTTGAAGTTATACTCTAACACAAACAATGTAATCTCATTCTGTCTCTGTACTTTTTGCTGTGTGTAAGGCTGCAGCCACACGAGGACGATAACGGAAACGAACCAAAATCGTTATCAAAAAAGTCTTCCGTCCACACGCAATAGGCACCAGAAACGTGTCCGTCCACAAGAGACAGCTCGAACCGCTGGAGACGCTGTAGTACATATGCCGGGCCTGTAAGTGGCGCTGTTCTTCTTCCACAAAATACACCAAAAGTAGCAAAGAAGACTTCTCGCGCATGCATGGTTGCCATGGTTGCTCTTCTGTTTATTCTCCGCGTTGGATTTAGCAGCAGAGGTGGGGTTTCGCCGGTCAACATGTCCGTTAAAGTTTAAATCTTCCGGACAAAATTAGAAAAGTGCCGGTCAAAGGTCTTCTTTGTTATTTATTGAGCTTTAAAACAAATGAATAACGACTCTATAATATAAGAATATCACACGGAGGACGGAGCCTCTCTTTTCCTCTCCCTCTCCTGACAGCCCGTCAGTATCCGTGGTCTCATGCAGCTGCCTGATCCAGTAATGAGTGACCCGACAGTAAAAATAAACATATTTATAACAAGACTTCAGTCAGGGTTGAAGGCAAATTCCAATGAAATATTGATGTATCCCCTACATACTGTGCAGGAATACATTATTTTCATATGGTACAATCATATATTTGATTTTTAACCTCAATTTCAGAACAACAATCTAGGAACATTGTTGGAAGTGTGGTAAGGGCACTTTTTTTGTGTCCATTGCAATCATCTATTGTCTTCCAACACTCTGGAATATGGCAACTGTGGTAGGTGAGAGTTGAATCATGAAGTTGCTTAGCAATGCAGTGAAAGTTCACTGTTTGTCATTTCACTCCCACATATAAGGGTTTTAAATAAATAGATTGAACTAGATATTATATTATTTGTGGGAGAGAAACTCCCTCTGGAGGAAACTTGGATTTTAGCCTTTGCAGACCATTTACATATATAACAAACTATATAACACACTACAGGAAAGGGAAAACTGCAAAAAGAATACTCAGGTCTCTTTAAATTCTTCTTAGAATAACCAGTGGAGCAATATGTATGGTAATACATGCATCCAATCAAATGTGTCAGTTGATAATGTTAAGCAGCAATTGGATGACTATCATCTATCTTGTGAGTGAGAAAAGTAATGTATCTGGGCTCGAGCCAGATGATATAAAAGCTTATTTTATTGGCTTTTGTTATTAACTAAATTTGTATTTTCCTCAATGAAGTCAATGGAAGTTTTTCTCCAAGTGAATTGCTATCCGATAGGCTCTCCATGTTTATTTGTGCTGATCTCTGCTCATGTCAAACACAAGGGCAAACCTTTTGGCCTCTAAAGCTCTTCCTTTCCCCAGTCAGTCCAGCAGTTAAATTATGCCAAAGCATTTTCTTTCTTCAAAGCAAGTTCCCTGATTGCCCAATCACTGCCGGCCAACACTCCATGCCAAGCAACAGCCCTCATCTGAAACACTTTCCAATCAATCATGGGGACAAACTTTGCCATCTGATGGATGCTGGAAACCGACAGAGCACCCAGATTGTTCAAGAAGTCAAAGCACTTTCACAGATCTCCATTTTGGGCTCTGCATTTCTTGCCTTTTCTCAAGGCTGTTCAGCCGACAGGTCCTTACATTGGGTCGAATGACCATCTGCATGTGTCGTGGTCTTTCAATGTTGTAGCAGCTCCATTCTTTGGTTTCTAATCAGTTTTCTTCTATCTTTGCAAAGTCCAATTCTGAATGAATACTACTTTAATGCACATGGATCAGGCGCAGTGATGGGGGTAACGCGCTACAAAGTTACTCGTTACAATAATCAGATTACATTTGTCTGTAACGCAGTTAACACGTTAATGTTGGTTAAGCAGTAATTACATTACAGTTACTAAGCACTTGCTACTTGCGTTACTTCAAGGTCTTTGACTACCAGGAGGACAGAAAAATGAATATTACTTTTGTTCAGTATTGTCCTTATTAGATAAATGATTTGTTCTGAACTGGGCATACAGGTTTACATTTATATTGTTCTTTGTCGTTTGATTTATGGTGCATCTCAGATGACGTTACAGAGTAATCCAAAATAAATGTAACTAACTTTCAGCAGTGAGTAACTAAGTAAAGTAAGGTATTACGAACTAGTAATGCATAATGCGTTTTTTTTTAATAACTACCCCAACACTGATAAGGCGTACATTTGATGTTAAGGAGGGCAGCACCCCTCAATGCAACTGCTTCCTAAAAACAGCCCAGGTATGTTGAGGTTTCACTTTATATATTACCAGTCTTGTTAGAGTGTCTCATTTATGAGCTGGAGTTTGGCTCTGGGCCTCACGGCAGATAAAGAAACTATAACACACACCTGAGCTTGGAATACTCAAATACAGACGCAGCCAAGCACATTTTCTCAAACTCATGAATTGTGTTTTTTCCCAAAAAAGGGTTCTGTTTCTCCCATTATGCAAAACCAGTCGTGTTTTTTGAGGCATTCTCAGCTCTTTCCCCCACCTAATGCTCTCTCTACTTTCAAGCTTGTCAACTCTGGTTAAGCAGTGTGTCAGGAATGAAAAGACAGAGGGCGATTAGTTTGCCTTCTCCCTTTCTCGCTACATGCAATCATCCCCTTGCTATCTCAAACATCTCCAATGACAGATTGCTTGCAACACTTCCTGTCCTCATTGGATCCCCTTTATCCATTCCTTACTTCGTCTTTTAGAGGTTTACTTCCATGTCTGTTCACCATCCACAAGGTTGTGCCAGTAGAGTTAAGGTAGTGAGAAACATACTTCAGGGTTGTTGAAGTTCTTCAGGTTTTCCCGAGTGAGCTAATTTGAGGTGAGATTTTGAGGAATGGAATGAGTTATGAACACACTGGCTCAGTTCAGCCTCCCTCAAAGTTCTTCTTCTATTTGAAGTCTTTCATTTTTAATACTCCTGTCTCTTGATAGCATCCTCAGCACTAAAGGTATTAATAACATGATTCACCAGTATGAGTATCAAGATAAAGAACTTCAAAAATGTGAAAAAACTGTTCTTTCCCAGGGTGTTAAATATTGACGTTCTGTCATGGCACACGGGTCAACCTTTAGTGTCTGTTTGAAGAGGTTTTCCTCCAATAGGCGCTTTCACACCAAGTACTTTGCCGTACTTAGTTCCCAGTACTTAGTTCATCGGAACTCTTTAGTTCCCGGAACTAAAGAGCAGATCGCGTTCACTCCGGAATAAGTCCCTGAGGGAGGATTAGGCAAATGAAGCCGCTGACGTCACTTCTTCTTCTTCTGCTTTGGGTTTACTGGCAGGCCGCAAACAACTTCACGGCGCATACTGCCACCCGAAGTCCCCGGCCGGAAGTCACCGGAGTTGGGGACTGGCTTCAGTAGAAGCCTTCCGAGTAAATCGCCAGAACGCCGACACCTCCTCATCTCCACCGCTCCCATGTTTTTTTTTGTGTTGCCATAAGTTAGAGTTTTACGGGGCGTGGTTTGGTTTGCAATTCGCCCAGCCAATCAGAAATTTGAACCTTTTTCTCACCAGGAAAGTCCCTGCTCTCTAGCAGGGACTAAAAAGGGGTGAAAAGGTTTGCAAAATACAGTTCTTGTCCCAGATCTTTTTGGTGTGAACGCAAAATCCCAGGAACTATCAGAACTATTCCTGGGAAAAGTACTCCGGTGTGAAAGCGCCTATTGTTAACCCATCAGGGGCTATATTAAACACTCAAATGCTCCTAAAGACCAACACAGTTTGCGTAGGGACAATAGGGTGGATGGAGATGTGTTAGGGTTAGGGTTATGCAGGACTTTCACCAAGGAAAACCCCGCCCATGTCAAGTATTGAACCAAAACTCAGCAATTACTCATTTGAAGTTACGTAACATGGTGAACTGAAACTTATTTTCCATCCAGACTGTACACTTTGCCTACAATTCCATTACTGGTATTGTCTCCGTATTTCACAAAGAACCCAGAAGATATTGTCACGTGAAATTGAACCCCAATAGAACGTTTATTTCTTAGAACAATACCAATTGAAACAACAACTTTGTCCAATGCAGGATAAGTTATTTCTCATGTGTGTTCTCCTACTTTTTCACTGTACAATATAACTGTTTTTTACAACTTCTGTTCCATCTCTACCTGAAGGCAAAGTGTTTATAGCTGTTCCAAATGGCCACACTTAAGGCACTACGAATTCTCGCTGGAAAGTTACAAAAGATGCCCAACCTAATCTATGCAGTTTGACCTTTTCTCATACACTTTAGTTGAAGCGTTTTGACACGTTAACAGTGGAACTGTAGTAAAAGTCAGGGTCGGCATCATGGGGGGTCATTCGCGGGCCATGCACCCCCCCAAATGAGTCACTGTGCCCCCCCAACGCAGGGTGGGCAAGCCTTGCCACTTTGCCGTTTTTTTTTTCATATAAGTTAAAACGTTTCCACTAAAAGTTTTTTGTGTGAAATACATCAGAAATAAAGAATACACATATGAAACACAGCCTGAGGTGTGCTCACTGCCGCCCTCTGATTGGTGTGTTGCTTGACCAATGACCCCCGACCTTTGTTTTGTTATCATTACGTGGCTGTGTGTTTAGATGAAAGCCCAGTGGCGATCTGTTCATCTGTTATACTGATTATACAGTAAAGCCATCGAAAATAATATGATAAACAATACAGTACAAGTACATGGGTATCTGTGTTTCATTCAAGCTCGGCTCTGTGTGTGTGTGTGGCACGAGCGCATTTTGTCAGTGCGCGAGCGGTAACATGGAATGTTGTTGTTAGCATCTGGTTAGCTAGCTATGCTAACGGATATAAAGAGCTGTTTCTACACCAAGGTGGAGGAGAGTTCTCTCCAGTCAGACTGAGAGGGTCGTATAACCTCAGCTCAGTGAGGTAAGGACTCTCAGTGTTTAGATAGTTAACTTTAGTGTAAGTTATCTCAGTGGGTCTCAAACGGTTTGGTCACCATTTATGTAAACAAGTATTTGCGAGGAACACCTTTATATGATCATTATAGTTATTAAAGAATAAGAGAATAAATGAAAAACTGGTATGAAATACTACAGGACAGTAACACAAGAATACAGTTTAAAAGGGGAGTGATTAGTAAAATATCCATAAAGAAAAAGTAAATCTGTGTACAGTTCTGTTTCATATGGATGCTGAGAGATGTAGGCTATCCATAGATCTCTTCATTTTGCTCTCAAAGTGCATCAGATTGATGCTTTTAACTTCAATATTTAAAAAAAAATCTTCCCGGGGGAGCATGCCCCCAGGCCCTCCTAGAGGAGGTTAGGTCCACCCCCACCTAAAACATGTTCACATGGATAGGATACTAAATACATTTGCACACTTTTTATATGGTGGCCTATGTCCATATGTTTCTGTTTTGGTGGTCGTGCCACAACCGTGCATGTATGCAAGTCATAGGTGCGCTATAAAATAGCACTACGCCCCTGCAATGTGTGTGAAAGACAATAGACTTTACAGCATGTTTTTTTTAATTGAAGTTGCGTTGGTGTTAGTGTGTTGGTTGTTGACGGCAGTGTGTGCCCCCCCCTTGGTAAATGATTGCTGTCCCCCCCCCATTTCGATTTGTTCTAGAGCCGACCCTGGTAGAAGTCAACTAGGCTGCTTAGAAATAGCACTTTCACAGATAACCTGTCTGGAGGGGTTCAAACAACCTCAAGTGCCTTTACCTGTTTTGTTCCATTCAGTAAGTCTCGTTGGCAGTTTGAATTCAAGTGGATGAGGGTTTGCCGCTTAAAATGCGGAAGCTAAACGAAAAGAAAAGCACATGGCTGATGGTGGCTGTGAACAATTCAGGAAATGATGGTCAGTCTAACCTGAATAAGTGGTGCAAAGGTCCATGTTTGTGCATGATGATTTGGTTACCTTAGCAACATGTATGCACTTAAGCTCATGTATAAGGTAAATGTGTATTTCCTATTCCATGTATTCTGGCATTTCTGACAATACTTTATGGCTCTTTTATGTATTTCTATTTCCAATATGTGCTCTCAAAGACACATATACTGTATCCGCACTTTGAGTCAGAGAGATGCAGAACATCCAATTGTACTGGGAAAAAGCCAGAACCAGAATGAAAATTAAACAATGTATATATTTTTGTGTTTCTTACAAGGGGAGTGAAAGCAACCTCACAAGTCATTACGTACTGTGTTTGGCTCCACACAGCAGATTTTATTGTAACATTATTTAAACTGTGGTGGATTTTCTGTTGTTATTCCGTATCTAGTGAAGTAGATAAGATAAAGAAAAATGCATGGAATAAACAATCACTGTCTAAACAAGCACCACATGGTGTCAGCATAACCGTGAACCATTTTCTTCCAAATTGAAAGTCAGAAAAATTGACAGCAGAGGGATGCGCCCAGCAGTCAGTCCAGTGATGAGTCAGGCCTGTTTGCTTTAGCATGACCACACTCTCTTTTACACATCACTTCCCATCTGGCAAGGCTAAATCTCCCATTAACTGTGTTACTGAAGCATGGGAGCGCAGGTAGACACATGCTGCATAGATATGCACTGGCCCCCTTTGAGACTAGCCCTGAAATCCCTGTCAAAATGAATCTGGTGATGCTCAGTGAGGCCAGCAGCACAGCACTGGCAAAGATACTGAGCACCGACTGGGCTCTGTTTCACTGCTGCTGTTTAACTGTTCATTCGCTGATCGATAGGTCACTCAATTTGTCAACTCTTTGCTTTTGCAATGTGGTCACAATCTCTCCAATCACAAACATAATTAATTAAACATGGAGATTGCAACGGCTTCCTGTTCCTCTACACCTCTTCATCTATGTCTGTTTTATTTGTTTTCCTCGTTACAGGCTTGCCGCCATTGACGTGCAAATTGGCTCCATCTCGATCATCTCTCTCCCGTTGTGTTCCTTCCCCAGTGCTCATTAAATTGCAGCGTACTCAACAGGAAAAACATCTACTTGGGCTCTGATAGGCTGCTAATGTTTCCTCATCAAGTGTCATTAATCACACTTTGAGAGCGCTAAGCGACAAAGTTTAGTAGCTTCAATGTACTTATGGGTCAGGAGTGCTTTGACAATAATGCCTCGCAGGTTGCTTTAGGTTGATAGTTAGCCCTTAAGGGTGAAGGTAAGCTTCAATCTGCTCCACTAATTATATATGCATTAGGGACTGAAAGCTGTGTTCCACATAGGTTGTGAATAATAGAATAATGTGTCGCACTGCACATTATGGCCCAATGTAACGGTAATCATAAATATAGAACATTAGCGTGTAAGTCAGCAGAATGGAGAGACGCATGCAAATATCTAGCGGTGTTAAAAACCTATCATGGTTATTGCTCCATGAACGTTATTTTTAACGAGGATGCAGACATAAGGGATTCTTTACCTTGCTATCTTTTAATAATTCCACATAATTCCTGTTTGGTGAGTTTTTGCTTGGTAATGTTTGGTTTCATTAGTGCTGAACAATAAGCAACAGCCTGAATGTTCCCCTAACATATCTAATTATTTCTCCCTTGTGGGATATTAGCTGGCTTTCATTTCATGTTTAGTGCGATTGTATCTTGTCATTGTTTTAGTGCAGCGTGTGTGTGTGTGTGTGTGTGTGTGTGTGTGTGTGTGTGTGTGTGTGTGTGTGTGTGTGTGTGTGTGTGTGTGATGCACATGTGTACTGTTCTCAAAGACAGGAGGGACACAATCATAAAAAAATCCATATTACATTTTTCTTTCAATTTCTCCGGGGTCAAATACATATCTGCTCCTTATAAAAGACAACAAGACAAACACACTTAACATCTGATTATGCAGAAACAGACAATTTCTCATTTATAATATTCATGGGATTATGATAGTTTCAAGAAATGTTCATCTCTTCATCGAATAAAGGTGGGAAATTAAGTTGATCTTTGAATATGCTCAATACGCGACAGCCTAACAGCATCACTAAATGGAAGTCAGCCATAATGCATCTTTTTTGACATGGCATTTTGATTAAATCCATTGCACCGTTAAAACTTTGGGTTGTGCAGGACAGTAGCCAACACAATTTGAACTTTGATTGAGGGGGTTAGCTGTTGACTGAAGGTTACAATTGCAGTGTTAATGCTTTAATGTCATCAGTTTGAATCTTTGATCAGGGCTGCTGTTTAATGTCGATCAGCTTCACTGTTACAATTTGACAGTTAGAAGCCCTTTTGGTGCAGCTAGTAAAAAGAAGCATTTTACACATGTTGCCCTCGTGATTTATTTAATTCCAAATGGGCTCAAGAATGGTTTAGCACTTTATTTCTAGGGATAATGTTTCACAGAGTTCCTATATTACACATCTGCTCTGAAGAGTTTCATTACACTGGGCTTCACTGGAGTTTTTTTGTATCCCCTTAATCCTGTTTTAGAGACTTTGTGTTCCACCTTGAGGAGAAACAATACGTGGGACACACCCTGGATACTTTTTTCTTTTATACATCAGTCAAACTTTTAACACTTAGAAAAAAATTGAATCATTAAAGCCCCTCTCACACTGTCCCGAAATTGACACCCGATGGACACACGATTAAGGAAATGTTCAAATTCGGCTCTGATCGTAACAACATCGGGCCATTCGTGAGGGCATCTTAAGCCATCGTATGACCGCCGGTGGAGTTTCTCAGGCTCCGGCAGCAACTTCGGGAGCGGTGGCAACATCTTTGGCATCACAAAGCATTGCCGAAGGACCTTGTGAAGGTTAATTTTCGTGTTGACTTCGTGTGTCCATTTTGCCCTTCCGCCGCCCGAGATACAGGAGAATGACAGCAGAGTATAGCACTCTCTGACAGAGTGACTGGAGGTCAGCGAGGAAAACCCTCCACATCTCCTACAAGTAGAGTAGCAGGAGGACGTCGTCCGCCATCGCCGCCGGAACTGGCACCACTGAAAGGGTTGTGGGCTCGCCAGGTAACATGTCCTATCGACTCAGACTGGGGACCAGCCTCTCTTTCGTCTCGTTATCAATATAGATCC